GGTATAATTTCATGGTCTAGCTGAAAATCCTTCATGTAGAGATTAAGCATCTGTATCTATGATTTTACATAGACACAACATATATGAATAAGAAATGCCATAAGAATTGATATACAGTGGTGCCCCGCATAGCGACGTTAATCCGTTCCAGGATTAACGTCGCTATCCGGATTCATCGCTATGCGGGGGGCAAAACCCCATAGGAACGCATTAAACGCCATTTAATGCGTTCCTATGGGGGAAAAACTCACCGGTAAGCGAAGATTCCCCCATCCGGCTGCCATTTTCGCTGCCCAGTAAGCGAGGGCAGGGCGCGAAAACGCTGCGGGCGGCCATTTTGCTGATCCAGTGGCCATTTTGGAACCGCCGATCAGCTATTTTCTAAACATCGCAATACGAAGATCGGTAAGCGAAACACTTACCGATTATTGCAATGTGACGTTTAGCCTATCTAAACATCGCAATGCGATCGCAAAAAGCGCATTGCTATGCGGATTCGTCGTTAAATGGTGCGCTCGTTAAGCGAGGCACCACTGTATGGATAAAATGCTACATGAAATAATGCGAAACAGAGGTAAGTTGTGAAATCCTGGGGTAAGGGGGGGAATAGAACCACATGTTTTTAGGATGAACTACGAAGAAACACTTCTACACCCAAAATGGGCTGGCTTGGCATGAGAGGAAGTTATAAATAATAACAGAAGTCCCACCAAACGAGCAGAATTTGTACACTGCTAGACATGTTGGTGGAAATCTGCATTGGCATACCTGCATCACTTGTACAACTACAGTGGGGTCTCAACTTATGAACGTCTCGACATACGAACGTTTCGACTTACGAACTGCTCTAATAGGAATATATGGACTCAACTTACGAACTTAGATTCGAGTTACAAACTTTTTCCCCCTTTTTTTAAAAGCTAAGTCATCTTAGGTTAAAAGTGTGAAATCCTGGGGTAAGGGGGGAATAGAACCACATGTTTTTAGGATGAACTACGAAGAAACACTTCTACACCCAAAATGGGCTGGGTTGGCATGAGAGGAAGTTATAAATAACAGAAGTCCCACCAAACTAGCAGAATTTGTACACTGCTAGACATGTTGGTGGAAATCTGCATTGGCATACCTACATCACTTGTACAACTATACTGATGTGATTGCCAAAACGAGGCAGAGATTTTATATGGGGAAGCAGTGGTCTTAATTTAAATTCTGAACTTATTCAAATTCCAACACGTCTTTTGACTGCACAGCTCTGTGCTGGTTATATGGGTAAGTTTAAGGTCCTCAGATGAATTCAATGGAGGGCAAGAACACTTCTTCCACTTACACAATGTCATAACAGAGTATAGATTTCTGACACTAGTGTATCACTCTTGAAATTGAAATAATTCACCACAGTGGTTAAACTACAGTAGATGATTCACAACAGTTAAACTGCAGTCAATCCTCTGTTCATGACTAGAAATGGGCACTTTGGAGGTTTGTGCCCCTTTGTTTATTGGCTGAACAGATGTTTGGCATGTCAAAGCTCCGCTTCCTCCGACTGGCATCAACTCAGAGGCAATGCCTGGAGAAGGTGGGGCAGAGAAGCCAAGGTGCTGCCTCCAAGGGCAGGGAAGTTGCCTCGTCTACTCATGATCTGAGCTCAATCCTGACGGATTCAGGGTTGGTTCAAAGTTGACTTAGCCTTCCATCCTTCTGAGGTTGGTAAAACAAGTACCCAGTTTGCTGGGGCAGGGGAGAATTGTTGTTATGCTGTAAACTGCTCAGAGATGGCTATATGCACTATGAGTTGGTATATAAGTTGAAACAATAACAACTTCTTTTCCTGAATACTGCTGCCATACTGTCAAAATACCTGTACATTGAACCTCATGGCACAGTGGTTAAATTGCAACACTGCAGTCAAGCCTCTGTTCATGACCTGGGTTTGACTTTTTTGGTGGTCAGGCCAAGGTGTTACTATTCGCATAATTATGTTGGAAACATCCCAGAAACTGGTCTAGCACTATGGTGCAGTATATAAGTTAAAAACAAAAAAGCTACTTCCCCCTTTAAAACAATACACATGCTCCTGCATTCCTTGTTTTAAAGCACAATGTTGTTTCTTTCACTGGAAAAGTGTCAAATTTAAAGCCAATATGCAGATTTTACAACTATGCCACTGAAATTTAGTGTTCCAAGTGGTAAATTTAGCAGGAGGGAGGGGACCGACAGGGTCTGGGTGTTGTATCCTGTGAGATTAGTATAATGTGTGAACTAACGTAGACTCTATTTCCAGAATATCTGTTTTGGTAATCGGATAAATAATGAATGAACAAACAAACAGTACATACCTGAAAATAAAAGACTTACCATAGTATGATTAAGCCAACTTGGATTAATATCATCAAGCTCTTTAGGGTATACTAATTCTCTGTCATATGCAAAAAGGCCCCAGAAGGCAACAGCAACAAACTTGAGATAAAAAGATTTTCACATTAATAATGAAAATCACAAAGTTTTCAATTATTAAAATCAAAATATTTTTGTTAATCATTCCTTCTTTACAAGCAACTCATATACTATGAATATAGAATATTGTTTTCCTTCTTATTTTTCCAGGTAAATAAATCAGTGAATTAAGCATTTGCGTGTGTAGTCTGAGTTCAGCAGCTCAATTCCCACTGTGGGTCCCAGGAGAAGAGTCAGTTTGTGCAAACTTTGGTAAGCTACACAGCCCTAGAACACCCCTAGAAGAAGGGAATTCGTAAACCCCTTTGTGACTGCTGTATACCTAGAAAACTCTAGAAAGGATTGCCATAAATCAGAATAGACTTGATGGCAGACAGTTATTATTTTATAGTATCCATGGAGGTGTCCAATGAACTATCTAGTCAGTTTTTTGGAGATTAGTTTCAGTTGTTGCAGCCTGATGTGGACAAGAGGCTTGAATCCATCCATCCCGCCACATGTATACTCATAGATATCCCCTTTTTAGACAAGGTGTTTGAGCATGTGGGGGCAGGGGAGCTTGATTATCTAGAATGATATCAGGCGAGCAATTGATACTGAAATGTCATTAATTACCCTGACTGATTATCTGCTCTGGGCTAAAGACAGTAGGAGTATGGTGCTGTTCATTCTCCTGGACCTCTTGGTGGCTTTACATCCTTAAGACCCACATGACACCAGTTCTGAAGGATTTGCACTGGGTGCCAATATGCTTCAAGTTTGAGTTCAAGGTGTTGACAATGGCTTATAAAACCCCAAACAGCTTGGGACTGGATGTTTGAAGGAATGAGTGTCCCTCCCTGTATAAACCTGTCTGATCATTATCAATTACTGGGGAGGCCCTCCTCTGTGTCCTACCATTGAAAACAGCTCATTACGTGGAAATACAGGACAGGGCTTTTTCTGCTGTAGCACTCTATTCTGTAGGCATCCTTCAGTCTTGAGAAAGAGGGCTTTTTCTGCTGTAGCACTCTGTTCTGTAGGCATCCTTCAGTCTTCAGAGACTATGGTAACGTGCTCTGAATAGAAGGCTTGGAACAGCATCTAGTGTGGCTGAGAAGACCAATACGAGAGTGACAATCCCTTCCACACTGAGGACAAATACAATTTGTCCTGTCCAGCTCCCTGATTTTGCTGTTTTAGTGCCTCTTTGCCTCGGCCTGCTGGACCAGGGTCTCCTCAAATTGGGAGAGGCCATGATGCACCGCCTGCCTCCAGGCTGAACGCTCAGATGTCAAGGTTTCCCATCTGTTGAGGTCCATTCCTAAGGCCTTCAGATCATGCTTGCAGATATCCTTGTTTCGCAGCTGTGGTCTCCCTCTGGGGCGCTTTCCCTGCACTAATTATCCATACAGATCTTTTGGAATCTGACCATCAGCCATTCTCACAACAGTTGGTGTGCACACCAACTGTGGAATGAGAGGATCAATTGGTGCCAACATTGGCATCATTTTGGCACCAAGTCAAGACATATGTATTAGAGCCTTTCAGAGTTGAGGATTGTGTTGTGCACAGGATTTAGTGGAATGTTTTTAATGTTTCTAATGTCTGAATATTTTCATTTTGTGTTGTTTGATTTAAAATTGTTTTAAATAAAATATGTTTTAAAACTGTTTTATACAGCTTTGAAACCCACCCTAAGAGCCTATGATACGGGAAGAGCTATACATGTTAATATATCAATAAAATATTTACAACAAATCTTAATTCCAAATCAAGTAGACAGGGTTCTACCCTTATTACACCCATGACTCTGAAGGCCCAGGTTGCACATAACATTAATATCATGAATGGAAGGCTTTTTTAATTTGTTTGTTTCATTCTTGAATGAGCAGCTGGATAGTGGGAGATGGAAATTTCACTCCCTCTCCCTGTCACCGTCTCAATAAAGAGCACTCTGTAAGCCTGTTATATTTCAATGGTAGTTGCCGATGTAACTTTTCCCTGAAATACAAATAACAGCTTTGGAGAACTTATTTTTGTTGAAACTTAAAAAAAAAGTTTATCAGCCCCACCAGAATGGTTCCAGTTTTTACTGTTATTTTCATAAAATACTGTACTAAATATATTCATGCAATTAACACTAAATCTAGTGGCTCACCCTCTGCTGCATGAGTTCTCTTAAGTGAGGTTCCCTCCAATTCTTCCTTCCAACATCTGTGAATAATTCTGTGATACTTGATATGCCAAACTATACTCATAAATGGATGAAATCATAGATGGTGAACTAGCACAATTATTAAAAATAATATATCTGCCTCATTCTCCTTGAGGGGACAGTTTATGGTGATGATAGGAATGTGCAAGGCCACAATGTGGAAGTATATGATGAGAGCATTTGTCAACATAAGCATGACATATTTTTAAATGGGACTTCTGTATCATCTCATAATACACCCTAGCACTCTCCTGGCATGATGTGGAAATCTTTATTAATCAAAACCACAAATATCTGTGATCATGTCAACAGAGTTGGAATGACTAAAACTGATTAATAACAGCAGAGTGTTTTGCAGCAGAATATGGGTGAGGCATTGTAGGTATGATTTGTCACTTTGCGATTGGCAAATCAAGGTCAGTGTGTTGAATTTTGTTTCAAAGCCAACAAAACCCTAGAATCTCTGGTAAAACATTAAACAAATACATCTGTAGGAGAGAAAGTCACTTCATTTACTCATCTTCTACATCAATTGTAGTCAGTAAATAATTTTCACATGTAACTCACTGCAGAATAAACTGCATTTTGCAACACCCCAAATACAAAGGCACCAGTGATAGTGGTCTGGTTCAACTTTAACAGTGAAGCTTCTATAATTGAAAACATCCCCAATCATTATAAATTGCAGGCTCATACATAGGCAGTCCCACATAGTACAGATCACTGATCTTTACAAAAGAAAAAGTTAACACTTTTCTATATAACTGATGACAATAACCTGTGCTAACTCTTTAGCAGATTGATGATGAAATTTAAAACCAGCTACCTGTAGCTCAATTAACTCTACATGCCTATAAGCTACATTTTAAAGCAATGCACACAAAACAGAAATAATAGTACATTAGGCATAAAGTACTGTACACTAGACATAACAAATATACTGTACATGAAACTGTTGTGGAACATATGGTGATGAATTCTCTTAAGGAAATGCAGCAGTCAAAGGGTAATATTTTAAGGCCCTCAAAGATTTAGCAAGAAGGGGGTTTCATCGCTGCAGGGTCAATCCCAAGAAGCCTACCTCTGATTTTACCAGCAAGCACTGTATTTTACTAAAAAGCACCAGATATCTCATGCAAATGTAGGGATAAAGAAAGGATGGGGAAAAAAAGGCCCTTAAGGTAGCCCAATCCTAAAATTAAAAACCAACACCTAAGCCACTCAAAGAATTATTAATTTTGGCAGTTTTATCTGAATACAGTAGCTCTAGGGTATATAACTATTAGAACCGTTACTTACTAAGCCAACGGGGAATACATATACAGAGAAGATGAAATCTCTGATAGGCAGCAGTACAGATGACACAGTCCTCTCTTTGGAAGGAATGCACAGAGCTACACCCTCAATGATGGCACACAATATATACAGTAGTGTCTGAAGAACCTGTGAAATCACAAGGACATTATGTAATTACCCAGTATGGGACACCGAGGCACATGCCTTGTACTTTTCATTTCTCAACAAGGAAATTAGTTTGAAAGTATCTATACTAGAGGTTCCCTTTTCAGGCTGGGTATAATTTTGCCACTTTTCTACATCTGCCTTTCACTGAACTAGGGCAGTTAAAACATATTTATTTAAAGCACATGCCTATACTGTACAGTCTATCTCTTTCCTCTGGTGTCAAAGGCATCTGGCAATCTGTGACAAATGAGTACAGTACATGGTAACTCACATATTTTTTTTAAAAATAAAGGGAGTTGGGACACTATTGGGAAAGACATAACTCTGAGGCATTATTCAGCTTTTCCCCTCAGCCTAGCAGTTTCCAGATGTTCCAGACCTCACGTCCCATAAAACGTGACAACTGACCATACTAGACTGTCCTACAGAAGCTGCCTGCAACTCATTAAATAGTGCCTTGAGGAGACCCTACACGCGCCAAATCCCTGAATCCAATTTCATAAAACCGCTCAAAATTCCTTCAGACGCCCCGCCCCTCTATCTCCTCATTGGCCCCTCTTCCCAAAGGCCCCGCCTCCTGCACACGTGCCGCGAGGGAGACGGTTGCCCCGCGCGCGCGCTCGCCCGCACGCGCTCTTTCCCTTTTTCCACGTGCCTTACCCGATTTTTTAAATTTTTTTTTTAAACGTGGTGGACCTTCACCTGGTTAAGGAAAGTGAGGTGTTTCCAGTGGCCCCCGTAGGTGTCATCTTGCGCTTTGCGGACCGATTTCGGCACCCCCAAATTCTGGCTCAGGGCGAAGAGCGCCCAGAGTAAACAGAGGGCGTGCAGGAGCGCCACCGCACGCCGACCCCGCAGCGCTAAAGCCATGGCTTATATAAGGCCTCTGTTGGTTGCGGGGCGGCGCGCTGAAGGGCTCCCCTGCCCGAGAGAGCCGTCGGGGAGAGTCCGTAGGGAGCGGAGGGCTTCGGGGCGGCCACGCGCCGGAGGGGAGGACTTTCGCGCTCAGCCGCCCGCCGCCATCTTGTCTCGCTTTTGAGGCCCTCCGGGGCGCCTCGCCGCCTCACGACGCTCCTTCACCTCACAGGGCGGGACGGCGGGCCGTACCATGCCTCTCATGGGGTGGTGCACACGGGGGACGTTAGTGAGGCCCCCAGGAGAGACCGTCCGTCCCTTTTTTTCCTCCTTAGGTAAACCGGCCGAGTGAGGTACGGGTGAGAAGATTTTCTCACTTTTTAGTAGGCCCGAGAGGAGGTTTCTTTAGATGTTCGCGTCCTTCTTTAGGAATGGGTCAGACACAACCTACCCAAATGAGGAATGGTACTGACCTCTGTGGGGCGCTGGTTAATTCTGAGGTGAGGCCGAGGGCAGGGGGGAATAATAGTATTGGAAGGGAGAGTAGTAGGATTTGATGGTGGTGTAGGATTTGGTCTCGCCCCTGAGCTGGGCTTTCTAAAGAAATCTGAAGAGTAAAGACATTTGTGGAACCTTTCCCATTTCCATATGTCTGAAGAATTGGAGTTGGTCCAGAAAAACTCACATTAAAATACAGTGTAAGTCTAAGGTGCCACAAAGGGGTTTTTTTTTTTAATTTGTGTTCTTTTTTTCCCCTTTGGATTTTGCCTGGTGTTTCTCTTCACTGATTTGTTTCAACTGCTCCCTAAATCACTGTTGCTCAAGTTTGGGAGATTTTGAGCTAGCCCTCAAGGTACCAGCAACAGAATTTTTTGCAAACTTCCCATCTAAATAGACCATTTCTGTCTTCTGATTTTTTTTTTATCATTACCATATTGTTATTAAACCTTGTATGAAAAGATTATTTGGGCATGTTTAATAAGTTTGATAAATTTGTGGGAGATGGGTTCATAACCACCTAGAGTGGTCATATTGACCAGATAGGCGGGATATAAATAGAATAAAGAAATAAATAGGGTGCTGTCACAATTTAATGGAACTCTCACATTTTCCAATGACATCTAAGTAGCTGAAATAATAGAATGATGCTTTTATGCCTTGATTTGTGTATTTTCTAAAGATGTTGCACCATTGTATTGCTTGCTTCATGTTGTCCTTGCCATGGTTGGCATATACAAATTTTTAATGAGGTCTTTGCCATCTACAACTTGCTGCTTACATTTTTCTTTACTTACTCTCATTTGGGTTATTTAGTCAGTTGACCCCAAGATGTTTTGCTATGCTGCTATTTATATATTGCCCATATATTTTTGAAAACAGAAAGACTTGTAAGATTTAGTTTGACTTTCCCAGTGCATTAAAAGAAGTATGAAAATTTTCCTGGCACAGTGTTTCTGAGCAAACATGTTTATGCAACTGTGCAAGATAAGAAACCAAAGCAAGTCTAGTGAAGGCCTTATTGGCAATGACAGAGTAAAAAAATACTATTACAAGTTACAAGAAATCTTATAAGCTGTAAATGCTGTAATTCATGCAGTATACAGACAAATTAGCCTTTGGAATGAATATGTGAATGAATGATAAATCATATTTACTAGTGCTGAACCTAGCCTGTGGATAAAACTGTTTGTTGCAGTTAGTGCATGCAAGCACTTAATGTATACTGATACTGTAGTTTCAGTCAGCAGAAATTAAATTACCAAAAGAGACAAGAGGCAGAAGTAATAGCTAGTGTACAGTATTTGAGTTTGTGTGTGCATTGAGAATGTCAAATGTAAATAATGCATATCTCTGGAACCAAGATAATGGGGGGAAAGTGAGAAGTTTCTTTTGGAAGGTACCAAAAACTCCAGTTGTTCTCGTAACAAGTAAAATAAGTAAACTACTTTGCGCCAACATATATCTAATGTGAAGATGTATTTTTGAAATAAATTTGAGACAAGTACAATAAGGACTCCAGTTGTACTCCATTGCAGCCACCTGGTGGAATAAAATTAATCAAGTCTTTTGTTGTAAGGGGACAAGAGAGAAATAAATACCTGAGAATTCTATCATGTTTATGTTATAAATTTGCCACTGCAGCAAAATGTTTGGATTGGATTACAGGCTATATTTTAGTTATCATGATCATAATCTGCTTGAGCAGTAAGAAGTCATTTCTGTTGAAGACACATTCACCAGGTAGGCAAGGAGATTGTTTTTCACTGCTTTCTGAATGTATTTAGACCAGATGTTGATAAATGTGTGCTCTTGCAAATTGTAGTTAGAACCCTGTTGACAGTTAGTGCCAGTGTAGTAGGTAAAATAAGTAATGGAAATGTTTAATGAGAACTGATTACAAGCTGGACAAACCGCAGATAATACCACAACAGTAAATTTATAAAAATCAGCTCAGTTAGGAGAAGATGACAGGAGAAATGGCACTATGGTTGACAACTCATGATTTTTATGTTGGCACAGTGGCTTGCATTCTTACTGATGTGTGTTCATTTTACTCTTTACTTTTTAAAACATGGCTGAAATATCTTTTTTTAAAAAATATAACTTGTATGATTTTAATGGCTATAAGTTTTTACTTTTTTAGAGCTATAGATTTCATGTAATATACCTCCCTACTTAAAAAAGAACCCATTGGCAGCTAATCACTTAGGGAGAGTTTGTCTGAAGAGAAACGTCTTTGTCTGCTTGTGAAAGGACAGTATATGGTAGATAGGGCTGGCCTAGCCCCCTGTGGGAGGGAGTTCCATAGGCTGGCAGCAGCAACAGAGAAGGTACTCTCCCTGTGTTCCCGTTAAAGGTATTTGTGAAGGTGACAAGACTGAGGGGAAGGCCTCTTCTGATGATCTTAACACTGGAGCAGGCTCATAAAGGGAGATGTGGTCTTTGAGGTCACTTCAACATAGTAGTAAAATAAAGGCATATAAAATACTATCAGCTTGGCTGATGTACTTTTCTATTTAAAAATAGTAAAATGAAAAGACAAAAATGTCCGAAGAAGAGAGAATAGCTTTATCATGAATTTATATAGAATTTATTCTTCCTCCCGAAAGAGGGATGACGCATTTCTACAAAGAAATACCGATAAAGTTTTAGATTTCAAAATGCCACAAACTATCCGAGTTCCATGCAAACAACAAAACTTTGCATTATGAAGAGAAATGTCTGCAGTGGAGGGGTGGGCTTATCAGGCTGCATGAGAATGCTGAAGAATAGGCTAAAGAAACATTAAGACCCTAATTTGTCACTGATACATTTAAGTGTCCTCTATTATGTTGTTAAGCCACAAAAGGTTAAGTGAGCATGATAATGCTGTCTTCAGAACAAAATGCTGTCACATGAGACTTCTTAGCATGCTGCACTGAATGCTTTTGCCTATAATTTTGATTCCAAAGTTATGGTTTGGTAATGTGAATAATTACCTTTTTAAAAAACTTGTAAGCTGGTCTTGTAAGATCTATCCTGGTACTGGTGCTTTTCAACCTGTACATAAATGAACTGGAGACAGGGATAAACAGTGAGGTGGCCAAGTTTGCATGACACAATACTTTTCCAGGTGGTGAAGACCAGAAGGGATTGTGAAGAACTCCAGAAGGATCTCTCCAAACTGGGAGAATGGGTAGCAAAATGGCAAATGCGTTTCAATATAAGAAAATGTAAAGTAATGCACATTGGGGCAAAAAATAAATAAACCAAAACTTCATCAGTTAATGGGTTCTGAGGTGTTCATGGTGGATCAGGAAAGAGATCTTGGTGTGCTGGTGGAAAGCTCAATGAAAGTGTCAACTAAGTGTGTGGCGGCAGTGAAGAAGGCCAATCCTATGCTAGGTATTAAAAAGGGGATTGAAAATAAAACATCCAACATTATAATGCCATTGTACAAAACACTGGTAAGGCCGCACCTGGACTATTGTGTACAGTTCTGGTCTCCACACCTAAAAAAAAGACAGTGGAACTGGAAAAGGTGCAGAAGAGAGCAGCTAAAATGATGACTGGGCTGGGGCATCTGCTTAATGAGGAAAGGCTACAGTGTTTTGAGCTCTTTAGAGAAAAGGTGCCTGAGGGGGGACATGATTGAAATATATAAAATTCTGCAGGAGCTGGATAGAGTGGATCGAGGGAAGTTCTTTTCCCTCTTATGCAATACCAGAACCAGGGGACAACCACTCCAGTTGAGTGTTGGGAGAGTGAGAACAGAGCAAAGAAAATATTTCTTTACCCAGCATATTGTCAGTCTGAAACTCCTTGCCACAGGATGTGGTGATGGCATCTGGCTTAGATGCCTTTAAAAGGGGATTGGACAGATTTCTGGAAAAAAATTCCACCACAGGTTACAAGTCATGATGGGGATGTATAATCTCTAGGCTTAAAAGGGTGGTACTTCAAAATATCAGATGCAGGGGAAGGGTACCAGGAGACAGGTATCTAGTTGTCCTACCATGGTTTTGGAAGGGAGGGACAAGAATGGATATTAATGCATTGCTTCCACATGGCTGCACCCTACCTCTGAAAGGGAGATTAATACCTCCATTCACTGACTTCAGAGCTTAGCTCAGTATTAACCATGGTGAATTTTGGTGGCTTTGCCAAGGGGTGTCTCTGTGTTTCCTATATAAATTTAAAGAGCTTGATTGGTTTCCTGAAGGCAGTTTTTGCTCGCCACAAGTGAAAAGAAGAGTACCTAATTACAAATCTGCACCATGGAAAAAAGGAATGAGCAAACAGGGCGTAATCCAACAGGAATGTCTCCTGCTCAAGCCTCACTCAAAGAAATAAGAATGCAGGAGCATAAGTGATTTTGTAGGCAATTCCAGTTAATTTCTCTTAGGCTTTGTCAGGAACAGTATCATTTTATTTTGCTTCTGCTAATCACTATACAGTATATGCTCAGCTTTCAAAAGAAAATCTTACATGACAGTTTTAGATTGCCAACACTGTAGGCTGTTCCTGCTTCTCACTAGAGGTCCTAGGCTGACTGTTGTTTAGTTGTGTCCAACTCTTTGTGACTCCATGGACCAGAGCACACCAGGCCCTCCTATCTTCCACTGCCTCCTGGAGTTGTGTCAAATTCATGTTGGTTTCTTCGATGACACCGTCCAACCATCTCATCCTCTGTCGTCCCCTCCTCCTCTTGCCCTCACACTTTCCCAACTTCAGGG